GGCCATACTCTTCTTTAAATATAAATAACTTTTATAATAATTATTCTTATTTTTTTTGTATTCTTTTTCTTTTAAAAAAAAATAATGATTATATAAATTATATTTTAATTTTATATTTTCCTATTTTATATAAAAATCTAAGTTTTATCTTAATTTTTTATAATTTTTCTTAGTGTTTAATGTCTTAATATTTATCTTTAACAAATATATATCATTTATTTAGAATAAGTAAATATATATATAAGTAAATATATATATTTTGTAAATATATATAAGTAAATATCTATATTTTGTAAATATATATAAGTAAATATATATATTTTGTAAATATATATAAGTAAATATATATATTTTGTAAATATATATAAGTAAATATATATATTTTGTAAATATATATAAGTAAATATATATATTTTGTAAATATATATATTTTGTAAATATATATATGTTGAAAATATATATATTTTGTAAATATATAGATTTTGTAAATATATATATTTTGTAAATATATATATTTTGTAAATATATATAAGTAAATATAAGTAAATATATATAAGTAAATATAAGTAAATATATATTAGTAAATATATATAAATATAAGTAAATATAATTAAATATAATATAAGTAAATATAATTAAATATAATATAAGTAAATATCTGATATTTATAATATATATTTAATACTTATAATATATACTTATATTATATACTTATAATATATACTTATATTATATATTTATAATATATACTTATATTATATATTTATAATATATACTTATATTATATATTTATAATATATACTTATATTATATATTTATAATATATACTTATATTATATATTTATAATATATACTTATATTATATATTTATAATATATACTTATATTATATATTTATAATATATACTTATATTTTATACTTATAATATATACTTATATTTTATACTTATAATATATACTTATATTTTATACTTATAATATATACTTATATTGTATACTTATAATGGGTCCTGCCTTATATACTTATAATACATACTTATATTATATACTTATAATACATACTTATATTATATACTTATAATATATACTTATATTATATAATTATTATTTATTTACTTATAATATATATATATATATATATATATATATACATATATATAATACTTATAATATATAAGTAAATATTATATAAATAAATATATAAGTAAAGATATATAATATTTAGAATAAGTAATCCAAAAGTGGTGTCATTTGTTTGGAAAAAAAAAGTATTAAAGAGAACTATAAATTAGATAAATTATAAAATTATCCTAACAAAGAAGAAAAATACTTTTTTAAATTAATTTCTTTTTATGATCTTAGATTAGTTTTTGTAATGGATTTGTATACAAATAACATAATATTTTCTAATAATCATGTTATCAATAATAAAATTTTAAAATTAACTCTTTTTTAAGTAAATAATAGTTAAATATTTAGGTTTTTTAGTATTTTATATCTTGGTTTTTATTCACTCAAAATTGTAATTTTTGAAGTTACATTGTTTATACATGTAATATACAACCTAATTTTTTAACTTAAATACACATGAACATTTTGCAACTTTTAAAGTATTTAAAAAATTTAGGCATCATTCTTTTGATTTAATAGCTCATCATCATTATTATATATTTAAAACAAAAATATCATGTTAGAAATCTCAAATCTTGCTAAAAAAAATTTTTAATTTTTAATTTTTTTTATTTTATAATATTACTAAATTCTAAAGACTTATAATGATGGAATTTCGTAGGATAGAAATTTATGTAACTAATAGTTTGATATTAATTTTGCAATAGTAAAGTACATCTTATATTTGCAACAAAAACTTGTTAATAGATTTTAATTTAAATTTATTGATTTATTTATTTTAAATATTTAGTTTATTTATTAATATCCAATTAGTAATTTTAAAAATCAATAAATTTAAAATGAAAAATTAATTTTTAAATTATCAAATTAGTAATTTTAAAAATTAATAATTTTATTATAAAATTTTTTAGAATGTATAATTTAAATTTAATATTTAATAAATTTCTTTTAGAATTTAAACTTAAATTTATTAGCATTTTGAATTATGATTTTATAAAATTAATAGGTATTAAAATAATACTATCTAATATTTATTTTTATTAATTTATATAAAAAAAATTACCAAAGTTCTTAGAAATAAAGACTTTTAAAACTTAATTAAAATTTATAAGATTAATACTATGATTTTTGGATTAAGATTGCTTGAATTCACACTAAATTCTTTAAAAATTAAGATTTTGTTTTATTTAAATCTTATTGGGATTGCAAATCACCTATTAATATATTACTAAGAAAAATTAAGATTTATTAAATATTTTATTTAATCATCAAATTAAGTTAAATCAAATGATTTGTAATAATTACAAATTTATTATAATATCAAATCTAAAATATAAAAAGACTTAATGCACTTTATCTATTGTATTTATTTATCTATTTTTACTTATATGCAATTTATAATAAATATATAAATTTACTTTACACAAATCCACACATATGTGCACAAAAACATTCTTATATTTAAATTTTTTTATTGAATATGGAAGTTCAGAATATCTATGCTATAGATTTACATTTAAAAAATTTATGGTATCAAAGCACCACCAAAGGACCTAGTTCTACAAATGTTTCCTACTCCTTAATCCTCAAACTTGCCCTCATTATCATCTTTTTCACTAGAAACATTGTAATTTACTTACTTTTAATCAATATTTGTCTCCATGTTGCAGAATCTCTTCTCGCTTGTTCCATTAGCGGTAGGCTCTTGCTTCTAGTGAAGCTTTTTCCCCCGCGATTGCTGATTCACAAGTGGAAACAAGCTCACGGTTACTTAATATTCTCGGTGAGGGAAGGGTGCTTTTTAGAACCCACTCCTCTGAGTCATCGGGGACTCCTGCACGCGAGCTCCAACGCGGGAAGTGATCAACGGGCGATGAGGTTTCACCGATTTCTGTTTTTAATCGGCAATGCACACCGAAGCGATGGGAGGGGTCGCTGTAGAGCTGAGCATGCTGGTTGTGGTGGCCTTGCACTACATGACTGGGTCGTGCGCCATGACGAGCAACGAGGCCAAGAATGTGCCATTTGTGGACCGTTTGAGCACAGTAGTGATTTACCGGACGTTTGAGGACATGATTCTGGCGCAACGTGTGGATCCATTCGGTTACGGAATTATGGTAGATGTGTTTTGTGCTTAAAGAGACGGGTTCACAGTCACAAAGTTAGTGTAGTGACTGCAATTTGTCACGCCACTCACGGAGCGCAGAACGCACGCTGTGAGCTTTAAGTCGGGATTCATTCAAGGGATCGCAGGACGGTTGTCTATCTCCAGAGTCCTCGGCTTTTGGAGTTCGTCCGCGACGTGATCGATTGCGGTTGTGCTGTTTAGATTAAGGTAAGCGCTGCAGAAGCGAAGGTCTGAATGCTTAGATTATGGTTCTAAACGTCTTCCACCCTCAGAAGCTTGCGATTCTCCAATTGCTTATCAACCAGGGCAGGATCATGTGAGATTTTGGAACGATTTGATTTATGCAAGTTTCTGGATGGATCGTTGGTATTGAACATTGTCAGGCTTGAGCAATCCCGACATTTCAACGGTAGCCAATCCAGCTTGGAGCACTCGCAGGTCCTCAGCACACATTCTGTACCCGTCTTGTCAGAATGGGTTTGTGAAATGGTAGAATCGCAAATAATTTTGCTCTAGACACGGCGACTTCTTACACTACCGCATCCAACTGTTTTTTTAGGACGATATGCGAACTCTCAGCGGTTTGATAGTTGTGACCAATTCAGCACGTTTCATGACGCACCACATCACGGCATTGTGTGCAGGTTGCTCGCAATGGCACCACAGACCGCACCAACCAAGAAGGCGCTCATCACCGGAATCACTGGCCAGGATGGCTCTTACCTGACCGAGTTCTTGCTGAACAAAGGCTACGAGGTGCATGGCATCATCAGAAGGTCCTCCAACTTCAACACGCAGCGACTGGAGCACATCTACATTGACCCCCATCAATCCAGCTCCCGAATGAAACTGCACTATGGGGATCTATCAGATGCGTCCGCATTGCGCAAGTGGGTGGACTCCATCTGCCCGGACGAGGTTTACAACCTCGGAGCTCAGTCCCACGTAGGCGTGTCGTTCGAGAATCCGGACTACACCGCAGATGTGGTGGGCACGGGCACTCTGAGGCTGCTGGAAGCCATTCGAATCCACATTCAGGCCACTGGCAGACTGGTGAGCTTCGGAACTGCGGTGAACATATTACGCAGTACCATCCCCTTTACAGATGCACCATAGTCTGGGGACGCGGTTGTCATGACGCTCTAAACGCCAACAACACTTCTGACTCTGCCAGTGCTTAAGGGCATAGCACAGAGATACCCCGGTTTATGCCACAGGTTTCGGATCATTTTCTTGCTAGCCCGTGATGAGAGGCTTCGGGTGGTTTGGATTATTGATAATGGTGAGGTGGCTGGACATTGTGCAGGTGAAGTACTACCAGGCCGGATCTTCCGAGATGTACGGTGCCACTCCTCCGCCCCAAGACGAGACCACGGTGTTCCACCCACGCAGCCCTTACGCCGTCGCGAAGGTTGCAGGGCATTTCTACACCGTGAACTACCGCGAGGCGTATGGCATGTTTGCGTGCAATGGCATTCTGTTCAACCACGAGTCGCCCCGCAGAGGCGAGAACTTCGTAACCAGGAAGATTACGAGAGCTATCGGGCGCATCAAGGTGGGGCTACAGAAGAAACTGTATCTGGGCAACCTGAAGGCGTCGCGCGACTGGGGGTTCGCAGGGGACTACGTTGAGGGAATGTGGCTGATGCTGCAGCAAGACAAGCCCGACGACTACGTGCTGGCCACAGAAGACTCGCACACTGTGGAGGAGTTTCTGGAGGAGGCGTTCGGCTGCGTTGGGCTGAACTGGAAGGACTATGTTGAGATCGACCCCAGGTAAGAGACACTCTCATGACACTCGGGATGAGCGTTCGAACGTTGTTGTGGTGGAAAAGTAGGATTTGGTGTGGACAATTAGCCTGGAAATGTGGTGCTGGACGTGGAGGCAGAGAAGCGTGGTTGGTTGTTCGGGAATGTAGTGGGTCGTGGGTGGTGATATTTGCATTCGTCGATTGTGTGGAATAAGTTTCGCGATGTGCGATTGATGAGGGATGTGTGTGCGCCTCGTGTCGGCTTTGTAGGTACTTCCGGCCTTCGGAGGTGGACAATCTACGAGGCAGTGCGAAGAAGGCGAAGGAGGTGTTGGGGTGGGAGCCGAAGGTGCAGTTTAAGAAGCTTGTGGCAATGATGATGGACAGCGATTTGGAGAAGGCGAAGCGCGAGAAGGTGCTGGTGGACGCCGGCTTCATGGACTCACACCAGCAGCCTTGAAAGCTCCCGCAGGCATTGTGGTGGAGCTTGTGGGGTACTGCGAGTAGTTTTTATAATTTTTATTTTATTCTTTTATGAAGATTTTTGATACAAAAAAAAATAAAAAGTAAGAATTGTGTATAAATTTGATTGATTATTTTTTATAAAATGAATATTATAATTAAAATGTGTAATGTGTATTATGCTCTTTATCATCTTTACAATAGCACAAAATACAAACTACAAAATGACTTGTCATTAGTTACTCAACTTTCTAGTAATATAACATTTTGAATATAACAAAACTTTGAAACAATATTTTTTGATGTTACAACATTTATTTTCTACCAAAAACTTGTGAGTCATCAAATCAATTCACTAGTTGTTTTAGAACAAAAGAATGCAATTAAAGTGTCAAAATTGCAATTGTTAGGTGAAGAGTAGTGTAGAGGGTTCTAGGTGAAAATAAACCAGAGCAAGAACAGCTGCACCGCCTCCATCAGATCCGGAGCTCCACTTAAGCATACAGAAAGAAAAAAGAAAAAAGAAACCAGAGAGCCCTAAGGGGTCCAGACGCGGACCCAAATCGGCAGGAGCTCCGCCCTCAAGGCGGAGGTCAGCCATATCCGATAGGCAATACGCGGCTGATGATACTCGTCTGGCGACATCCGACTGATCATACCGCATGTGTATCACATACATACCTACATGCTTGCCTACTCCGTACTAGATTGTATCTAGATAGTATTCCAATCATATCAGCACCGTATCAAATGCACATCATCGTTTATGTGTGCAGTTGGTTGTTGGAGAGTTCAACGTGCGGCCTAGTGGTGCTGGCCGTTCTACTTGTTATTGTCCTTATTTTGTTCCGTTTCGTTGAAGTGCTGGGTACAGCATTTCCTTTCAAGTTAGTGTGTCATAGAACGCGATGGCATTGAGCATTGGTGGCTACGTGCGGCTGTCTCGGTGGACGTGGTTGTGGATAGCAGCAGCAAAGGACGTCTTTGGTTGACGTGGTTTGAAACTTCTTCCTTGGTTCTGTATTGAGCATCCCTGTTACGATGGAATTAGGGTGTGGGTCGCTGTACGTTGTTGTAGGTTGGAATCGAAGTTGTTGTGTTGTTCTGTGTTGAAGTGGGAAGTTTCAATATGGGATATTAGCAAGGGGCGTTGGGCATTGCTGTGGAGTTCTATCGTCAATAGTCGCGGCCTTCCTTGTTCCTTGAGCGACATTCTGGTATTGTTTTGTTGTTAAGTACGTGGTTCTCGTCTTCCGATGATTCAGCGAGGGTGTTGAATTTGAGATCTTGGTGCTTGTGGTATCAACAACGGCGGTTGGGGTGATTGTGACAAAGGGTCCAGTTCCTTACTGTCCCACGATTAGAGTTGCTGAGACCGCTCAGGCACTGACTCCTTACATCACTAGGCGGCTGTAATTCTTGGACGCCGCACTTAGTAAAATGTGGAGATAACAAGCAATAAATGGCGAACTAGCGTGTCCGTCGCGGTTGCTAGTTGCACAAGGCGGCGAAGGTTAAAGAACTCGTGGATTTTTTCTGAGAGCAGTCGCTACTTCCCTTATTTTTTTTCTTGATATCTAATCATCATCAATGTCCTTGTAGTCTTGCCGTAAGTAGCATAGAGGTATTCAGGAACCTTAATTGTTAATGTGAATCCCATTTCAGTAGTCAGCACGAATCAAGCAAGGCAGCTGGAAGACAGTATTCAGAAGGCGCGTACATGTTGGATCAAGTTAAAATCACCACTTCCAAGGAGGGAGGTATGAAGTACCATCAAAAACAAATACATCATCCTGGTCACGGATTAACCTGTTGATACTAGTGTAAGCTTTGAAGGCTCTTCCAAGAGGACATCATTGAATCTTCATCGACTATTGTTGCTTCTAGAAAATCCATAGTATTAGACTGCATCCAGGAGAATATAGTTTAGAGAGCATAGAGTAGTTTAGGGGCACCTCTTGGTAGAGTTTCCAAGTGATAAAAAGTGATTGCTAGTATACTCAATTATTTAGTAGCTGAAAGTAAAGGTGATAGCAGAGGTCTACTTAGAATTTGGCACACATGTTAATCCATCTATAAAAATAGTGATGTAGTGTGCATGAAGCATTTGGTATTGGCTTAAAATTTGATTGTATAGGCATGAAGTCTTTTTTCTAAAATTGGAAAGATTCACAAATCAAATATGTTGTGACTTTAAATTATAAAGAAGACAACATCCTATTACAAATGTATATATTTATTTTAATAATTAACTATGTGATTAGATTAAAAATAGATTAATTTCATGATATCTTTTAAAGAAACGTCATAAATGTAGCTTTGACTTTGAATATTTTTATAGTTGATTAATAAGTTAGAAACTTTATCAATAAGTTTGCTAAGTGTCACATGTGTTGGTAGCTTGTGGAATAAGTTAACTATATAGTGCACATATTAAAAACTTGTTTTGCAAATTAAAACATATATCTTGCAAAATCAACATGTGTTACAGGATCTATAGAATATTGCTATATAGCTTCTAGTTAGATAGTATATATGGAGGTAAGAATAAAGCCTTCTTTACTCTTGTCAATGCCTTTCTAGTTCTTACTTTTATTCAAAGACTTTTTAATCTTCTTATCTTTGGCAATAGCTATTTTAGTTCAATATATTATCATCTTTGAGTGATTTTTTAATCTTTTTGAATAACACAAGAATGTATTGAATTTTATCTCATTAAGATTCATGTCCTTGACATTTTCAAATTCATAAATATATTATTCTAGATGAAGAAACAATCTAAAAGATCTTCAATGCATGTGTGTAATTAAGAAGAGAGAAGAATAAGACACACATCAAAGAACTTTTGACTCTTACAACTTTTCATGGGAATGAGTAAATATCTAACATTTATTTTGTATAAAATTTAATTGCTAAGAATTTTATAAATTAAATTAAATTTTAAAAAATACAATTTATATAAAGATCTAAAGATGTTCAACTAGTTAAAGAACTTAAGGTCTTTTATTAAGAATTATATTAATATTTCATCCAAGAAAAATATAAGATAAATAATTATTATAGACTAGAGTAAATCACTAATTAAAAGTGGTTAATTGAATTTACAATTGAAGGATTTAAGACTTGTTGGAAAATATTTAGATGATACTTAAAAAACAATAGAATTATTAGGCAACTTAATTGTAGTAAATTAAGATAATCTATCAATTAATAGAAGATTATTTTAGTTTACAAAATCAATTCATTAATCCTATAAACATTTACAACCTATATTTATTTAAGTATGGTATTAGTTATTTTTTTAAAATAGATTTTATTATAAATTATTTAATCTCAAATTTTTATAAACTTATTTCTATGAAGGTAAATTATATAATCAAAATGGTATGCTTTGTAACTTGTACAAAAATTATTATATGTGAAGAAAAAACTAATGTTTTATTTTAAAATATTTATCAATATTTTAGATCTTTAAGAGATATTACATCAAATTAATGATCTTAATTTGTGTCAATGATTTAGAAGACATTCTTCAATACATTAAATATAGATGCCAAATTATCTTTTATTTTTTTAATTGATAAATAAATCAAATGTATAAATCAAATATTAGAATCATATTTGCAATATACTATTAATTACTTAATAAAATATATTTCTTCTAATTATAATTATTATTTATAAATTTATATTATTAGATATTTAAAAATAAAAAATCTAACAACAAAAGATTTGATACAAAAAATAGCAAAGTTTTATGATACAATGAAGAAACAACAATTTTATTTTTTAAAAAATAAAAAATAAAATAATTTTTTTAAAATAATAATAATAATAATAATATCTATATTCTTAAAAAAGAACAACTTCCATTCAAAATAGATAATAAGACATGATTATTTTTTCATTATATATAGACCAATTCATCTTGTGACAAGTTTAATTATTAAATATTTGTTGTATATATTATCCAAAAATAAATTAATATATTTTCATATTAATTACAACTATCAAAGCTAATAAAGATTTATCATGTATTCTATGTATTTTATTCAAGCCTTGTATTACAATTAGCATACATGAAAGAAAATAGTTACTACTATCTCTTACTAAAATAGATAATAACAAAGAAAATAAAGTGAAAGGTGTCTTGGATTCAAGGTAAAGTCACAATAAATTGAATATCTTATATAATAGTACAAATTTGATATTAATAAATACACATGAGAATTATTTAGAAACCTTGCAAATATATCAAAACTTGTTGATACTTTTATTAATGTCTATATAAAATATATTCTTTTCAATTAATTTTTAAAATATTAATAATAATCAAAAAATTAATTAATTTTTTATCTTAATATGGATCATTATTCATGATTGAAGGAAAATATTAAACAACTTTGTGTAGAACATAAATTATGATTTATTACCAACATCACTTAATAAATCTTAGACTTTATTAATTTATAAAATAATTCAATTTTACTTTATAGAATTTCTTTCATAGAATAATGCAATAGATGTCTATATTAATTATGTAAATAGAAGTAAATATAAGTATCATAGAAAGGTTAATTTTTTCTAAGTATAATTAGAAAGGTTATTTTTTCTTTGGGAAGCTTTAAAAAAAATAATTTAGATGCATATCAATTTTTTTTATAGATATGTCAAATGGCTATTAAAACTTATCATGTAAGTTTTTTACTTTTATAAAGTTGTATTAGAAGCAATTTACAACTTGGCGCTTAGGCCAAAAGCTATAAGTTGTGGTCCTTATAAAGCTTATATAAGATCTTTTTTTAGCTAATATATATCAAGCTAAGACTAGCAACATGATTTTCATTGTTTTTATGAAAACACCATATCAAAATATTCTAAAACACATTATTATATCAAATATAAAAGTTTAGGAATTAAATTTCTATATATAAGTTATCTTAAATAAAATTTTAATAAGAATATCAATAGGATTTAAAATCAATCAATAAAGAATGCAATTAAGATTCAATGTATGTATTTAAATTTGATGTACAATAATTTATTGAGAAACTAAAATAATCTATACAAAGAATATGATAAGAATTAAAAAATAGATCCATTCTGATTTGATATTTGAATAACTTATAAAAATAAAAAATAATAT